TCTTATCATCTATCTAAATGTCCAGTACTTTATGAATCCCAGTAATCTCTTGATGTTAACATCATCTGAAAGCCATATCTAGAAGCTGGTTTGCTCTGTGTCTACTGAGCGGATATTGAACACAATGAGTTCAGTTGTTAGAATTAAGACCTAAAAGGAGTTTCCTGACACAGTCTTCCGTGATATCTTTCTAAGTAGAAATTTCTAGTGAAAGCTATAATCCTCACTTTGATTCTCAAATCAAGACATTCTCTGATTCCTTCAATCATCAGTGTTTATTTCTCCTTGCAGCTTTTATTCCTTCTTATTGAGCACAAAGACTTCAAGGATACTATTATTTGTCCTATTTGCAGCACTGCTTTGAAAACATAGAAGTACATGTTTATTTTTCTAACTGAAATTGGCTTTGGAACTGGCAGAAGTCCATCCATTTATATTTTAGTGCCACCTTTCTCTTGCAGGGGCTGTGCTTTGGGGTTTTGCTGTTATTGTTGATTTTGCTTTTGTTATCAGCACTACTATATGCTAGAGAGAAACCTTAGTTGAATCACCAACAATCATTTTTACAGCCACCTACTTTCTTTGAGAATACATCACTATTTGTGATAAATAATTGTCCTTTTTCTTCCCCACATTCCACACACAGTTCCCAATATCACAAAATCACAGAATGGCTGAGGTTAGAAGGCACCTCCACAGATCAGCAAGTCCAACTCCCCTACTCAAAGCTGGGTCAACTAGTGTACATTGCTCTGAGCTATGTCTGGTTTTGAATATCTCCAAGAACAGAGACTCCACAATCTCTGTAAGTGAGTTGTTCCAATTTTTGACCAATTCCAAGAAAAAATCTTGTTTTTTCTTATGCTTAAATGGAATTTTCTGTATTTCAATTTGTGCACATGGCCTCCAGTCATTTCACTGGACACTACTCAGATGAGTCTTTCCTCATCTTTGCTCATCTTTACTCAACTTCTTTCCTGCCCTTATCAGGTATTTAATCACACTGATAAGCTCTTTCTGAGCCCTCTCATCTCCAGGCTAAACAGTCCCAGCTCTTTCAGCCTCTCCTTGTATGACATACTCCAGTTCTTAATGATTTCATGCCCCTTCACTGGACTTAGTCCAGTTCCTCCATGTCTCTTGTACTGGGGAGCCCAGACCTGGACCCAGCAATCCACGTGTGGCCTCACCAGTGCTGTATAGAGGGGAAGGACCACATCCCCCAACCTGCTGGCAAGACTCTTCCTCATGCAGTGCAGGATGCAGTTGGCCTTCTTTGCCACAGGGCACATTGCTGGCCCATGTTCAGCTTGCATCCACCAGGACCTCCACGTCCTATTTTGAAAAGCTGCTCTCTAGTCAGTTGGCCGTGCATGTTTACTGGTGCACAGGATTACTCCTTTCCAGGTGCTGGACTCTGCATTTCCTGTTACCTAACTTCACTAGGTTCTGTTCACCCATTTCTCCAGCCTGTCAAGATCCCTCTGGATGGCAGCATGACACTGTGGTCTTTCAGCCATTGCTCCAGTTTTATGTCATTTACAAACTGGCTGAGTGCACTCTGTCCCATCCACCAGGTTATTAATGAAGAGATTAAACAGTATTGTATCCAGTATCAGCCCCTGGGGTTGGCCTGCAGCTGCTAATCACAACCCTTTGAGCCTGCCATTTCAGACAATTTTCAGTCCACTTCACAGTTAATTTATCTAGCCCATACTTCTGTGTGTCTTGTTCTTACATGAGTTTCTCTCAGTCTTCCTTAATTCTTAGCAGCTAGGGAGGTTAACTGACAGATCCTACACCAGTCCTTAAAATAGCTCAGCCTTAACCTATTCCACTCCCAAAGGAGCAACCATTCACTATGACTGTATTTGCTTCCTCTAAATCAGTCTTTCATCTGTTATAAAACTTTGTGCACTTGCTCTGTATTTTCCTATTTCTATTACTCTTGTCAAAGACTTGGTCAAAAGTCTGTAACAGAGCCAAGCAAATTCTATTATCTCCTTTCTCTTTCAAATAATCTTTCCTAAACTTTTTCAAAGAATTCTAACAAACTAATGAAATGTGAATAATTCTATGTGAAACTGTATTTTAAAATCCTATTACCATCAAGATGTAGTCCTTCCCCCTGCACCAAATATAGTCTGTAGATCATTCAATATAAAATATAAAGTATTATTTTATCATCTTTCTTATTCCCTAATACCGCAAGGAGTTTTCCAGAAGTACTAGTACTGAAACAATCAAGGCAACAGCTTTAGTACCTGTGCCCTGAACACCAAAATCCCACTCTTCCTCACTGTATGCTGCTGTTAAAGAAAAATGCATGTTAAAGAAAAAAAGGACTGCCCCGTCCATTCTCATGGCAATGGATTCTGGTGTGCTTTAGGAGTATCTGCATAAACAGAAAAATCGCTAATCATTACATCAAGGTCACTCCCACAGAGGAAAGTGGTAGAACTTCCGCTGATTTCAGAGGGGACATTTGATCAATGCAGAGTGTATATCACATACTGAGACTAAAAGTGAAATAAATATCTTATGAAAAGTTCAGAAACAATAAGGCCTAAGCATGAGGATGTCTTGCATTTGAGGATAGAAATCTGGCGTTGATTTCTTTTGCATAAAACAAGCACAACTAGAAATAGCTGCCCAAAGGATGATTAGTAGAAACTGAATTCTGTCAATGAAGTGTAACATAAAGTCAAGAGAAGAAAACACTTCAAGAAACAAACTATAACCATAACATTATTTCAGCAGAGCACCTCTTATTGTTGAAGCAGTACAGTCTTTCTGGGCTTCGCAGATTCTGCTATGTTCCTGGCTAAGCAAATGGTGTCAGAAGATACAAATGCCTTCTACCATGTCAGATGAACCTGAAGACTGCCACTCTAACAGCTAAATTATATTGTGGTCACAGCCTTCCACCTGTTTTTCAGCTTTAGTCTTAGTTCTGCAATTCCTTGTACATGGACTTGAAAGTGAATGCCATAGAAGTCTGTAGATATGGGATAGATAGCACTTAACACAAGAGTTTTGGCTTTGATGCTCTATACACAACATATGCTCCTTCTTCCATCATAGATCCAATTACTGATTTCACAATGGATTTGGAAGAGTACAGCAATATTGTAATTTTCAAATTACCGTAGGTAAGAAAATGGCCAAAGAAGTAGACACAGGCTGCCTGTCATTTAGGCTCCCTGTCCGTCTGCCTGCCATCCATCTCTTCTTCACTGCTGTCTCTTCCTTTTTTCATAACCAAATTGTTTTTCAAACTGACATTATAGATTTACTTATCTTTCCAGCCTCAACTTTAACAGTAAGAAAGGCAATGCAAGGGAAAAAAAAAAAAATCTCTGTTTTCCTGTAACGTTACACCTGGAATGGAGAATTCTAAGCACGCTGTCTTAAAAAAAAAAGGCATTTCATCCCTGTTACTCATATTCTCTTTCAGTAATAAACATAATCCTTCTCTATTCTCCATACTATTCTCTCAGCATGGTACGTGTACTACCACTCAATTGACTATGTGAAATAATAATGTGTAGAAAGCTACATTTAAGTTTAATGCTATTGAGATTTATTTCTGCAAAATAATTACATTTGGATGGCTTCCCAAAAAGACTAGTGACCACTCCCTCTTTTCAGTATGTCACAATGTGGCTTTTAAATCTTAATTCAAATTAACACTTACTATGCACCTGCTTATGATTAGACTTAAACTATATTTCATTTCATGCTGCACATTATATACAAAGACACTGTCAAGCACACTGAAGCATCAGTGGTTACCTTTTTTAAAGGGCTAACCATAAACCTCTAGATTTTACTAGTTACAACAGAAATTTAATTTGTTCAAAATGTCAATTTAGTTGTGAAAGCAGGTACAATAATAAGAAATAATTTGTTGTCCTTATAAAATATATATGTGCTGTTAATTCTGTAGCATGTGCTAGCGATATAGCGGCAGAACAGATTCTATTTTCACGCAGGGATAAAAAAGATGAAAGCAGAGGGGGCTCAATAATGTCAGTGGCACCTGCTACAGGTAAAACTGGTATTGTGTCATCTGGCAATGACAGAATACACCAAAAAGAAGGAAAAAAAGAAAAAGGAAAGGAATATACATAAAAGTAGTTCACAGTTTTGATCAAAATCACTGCCACTGAAAGACAGTATCATGAAGAGTACTTAGCAGGACTGGATCTACTGATCCAGGTTGAGATTTTTTTTTTCATTTGGTTTGTTGACTTTTTTTTACTTTAAAACTTTGACTGTGCCAAAATAAAGACCCTGTAATAAAAAGGCTAACTGAAATGTTCTTTAAACTGTCCTTGCCTCATGTAAAAATATTTATCTGGGACTACTCAGTCAGACATTTCTTTACTGTTGCAGGGCTTATCTGAGGCCAGTGGAAATTCATCAGACTTTGAGGCCTTTCAAATGCACAGGCAAGTATTTATTGTATCTTTACTTGGCAATTTGCCTATTAAAAGGCCAGAGGTATACCCTGATAATCAGCAACTACTAGGCAACTGTCAGATACGAATTAATATTGGCATATTTAACATGTAATTCGCTAAAATAGGTTAATAGCAGATACAAGAACGAAGGATGAATTTCTCAGACAGTACTGTATAGTGTTATCTTCTAAGAGATACGAAATACTAAACACAAACGGGGCAAGCTGTTGATTTTAGGACACTGAAAGCCTGGAACTGTTCCTGGGTAAACTGGCAGCCTTCTATCACATACAGAAAAACATGGTAAATTTACACAGGTGGAATCACATAAGCATGTGGGGTTTTGTTTATTTGTTCTTTGTAATTAGGGAATTTACACACACACAGAAAACTATCCTTCATCCAAACTGGCTAAAAACCCACTGGTGTTAAAAAGAACGTAACATCTCAAGATAGTGTTTCTTAAAATCTGAAAATTATTATTTTCTTTTCTAATTTTTTTTTTTAATACTATGTGCCAAATATATTATTTACCTATCTCAGAAGCAGCCACTGTGATGTTGTACCAAGGTGTCTCCTCTCTGTCAAAGGTCTTGGCAGTCTTAATGGTCCCAGTACTAGCATCAATGGTGAAATACCTATCTTCTTCTGTGTTATGATCAATGAAATACCTATGAAGAAATAAACCAATAAATACCCATTGTAGTATGTATAACCCAAAGTAACAGAAAGCTACATAAGAATATTACTTTCAAGCTTTTAAAATCATAGAAATTTTTAAAAACACCCTAAGAAAAATTCTATTTTATGGAGACACACAAAGTAACACCGTATTTCATTGCTTTCATAACATTACATTTCTTTTGATACATAACAAGGTTTCCACTGTGAGTCACAAAGACATAAATTGCTAACAGGTGATATTTTACACAGCAGTATACAATCCTGTCAAAGGTAGGATACACATATATTTTGACTAAAAAAATCATAAAATGGAAAGGCAGAAAAGAAAACAGAAAGATATTAAGATATTATTCTCCTGCTTATTGGCTCGTCACTGCAAACGAGTATGGTCAGTCCCAGTACCTGTTTTGAAGCATGTCTCTCTGACATGAAGTTGATGACATGATGACATAAGCCATTTTGAACACAACCATTAGAGAGACTAGTAGCGGAAGGGGCTGATTCCCAGGGCTGCAATTGACACTAGCCTAAGAGCAGAACTAAGCAGCCCTGCTTAACTGCGCCCTTGTCTCCTGGGCACTTTGCCTAGCAGAGAAAGTAAAAGCCTTGAAGTGGGTAATGGAAGCAGAGGGAGGAAGCACAAAAGAAGAGATTGACAAGACATTTTTTCTCAAGGCCGGACTCATTTACAACAGCTTTTAACGAATGAAGCAATTACAGTCCCTTCTTCAAGGGAGAAGCCTTCTTCACTAACTTCAGACGATGAAAAAAAAATAAGGAGAAAGGCTCTAAGTCTTTTATATACCATAATTGTTTTCCTGATAATTTGTCAGCCCTTCTTTCCTTCTGTGAAGTTTTTAATATATGGAAGCTATATATAGGTCAAAATGATTTATTTGTCCTATCCAATTGCTCTTATTTCTACATCACCAAAAGTGCCATTGCCAGCTAATAAAAAGAGTGGTGCACATAACAGCTGCCAAGCTAAAAAAAAATTTTAAAAAAATTTCAGTTTTATTTCTCTCACAATGTACTTATTTAAACTATTTGTGGAAAGGAAAAACAAACAAGCACACAAACATTTCATTGAATGATATATTAAAGTAAGATATGGCGTGAAAAAGCAAAAGCAATAAAGCACTAGAGGAGACAGCAATTTGAGTGAGTCACCTTAACTGGTCAAAGGATAGAACACTCAGTAGAAAAGCCAGCTCAGACTTGATGACTTAGGTTAAAGCTTCCTTGTTGGAGAGAACCTGAACCCACCTCTCCTACCTGCAAAAAGTATTTTACACCTGCCTTACAATATGCTATTTTGGCTTCTGGCACTCAAGATTTTCTTTTCATGCTTCCAATATTTTCAGCAATTAAAGAACTGTAGGTCAGGCACTGGATATCAAAGCAGCCAAAACTAGGATAGAAAATCTTTCCTTCTCGCCTGCTTTCCATATTTCCTTTCAACATCGTGAAGAGTGAAACAGCTCCCATATGACTGTGGGAGCTGTTGGAGAGACAGCAGACCTCAGTTCCCACCCATTTTGTGTTTCTCTGGAATAAGGATTTAACTCGCAGTTTCCCATCTGAGCTGCAGTCAAAACCTATGTGAGGTTCACTAACTACCAAAATCTGAAAATACCTCATGGTAAAATACACCAGAAATGCTCAATAAAGACACTTTGGATGTTCAAGATGGCAGCTGAAGTTGCTTCAAACAAGTAACAGACTCAATCTCCACACTGAAAGTATCCCCTTGATTATGTAGGGGATAGGGCAACCATTTTTAAGAATTTAAGTCAGGAAATTTTTTTCAGATGACATTATTTAATCAGCATGTCCCAAATTGGATGAAAAAAAATAAAAATAAGTGATGTTGTCAGAAAAAGAACAAAAAAAAAAGCTGAATTTCTAATTGCTGAATCACAGTGGGTGTTGCAGACACACTTCCAAAAGTTGGTATGCTTCTCTGTGCTCAGTAAACTCAGGAGATGAGATGACTTGAAAGCAAACTTGACCAACATTCATCAGTCACTGATCATGATACACTGAATGTTACAGCTATCCAAGAAATTTTATGTTGCTTTTGAGGAATATTGGAATCCACCAAGGACCCATTAAAATGCAACCAAACAAACAAGGACCACACAGCTATCCTGTTGGCATTACTTTATGTGGCAGTATTGCTCCAGGCTACCCATACCTCTCTATTTGAGAATCAGAATTTGCTTTTCAGTTTCAGAACAATTGATTTTTCCACTGTCTCTGCAGGTCTCAGTCTTCCAAGAAGCAGATTTTCAGGTTCCCCAAGAGTTTTTCTGTCATGGAAATACTTTGAAATATTGTGCCAAAATCAGTAGAAAAGTTGTATCTCCTACGTGCACAGCTATCCTTATCTTTTACTAATTACAAAACGTTGGAGACAGAGTGATATTGACCTCTGAAAGTCCATAAAGCTGCCATGTTGGCCACAGAGTTATGTTGAGATTTGAACTTTGTGCAGAAGATACATGCTTCAGGTGGAGAAATCCCCCCATGCCTTATACCTTATGCTTGGTAGTGTAGGAAGCCTGAGCTATGACAAATAGTTGGAACATCTCAACTATGCAACTATTAAGGCAGAAATAATGACCGTTTAGTTGTCTTGGGCAGGATGGACAGTGCACATATACATAAACATCTTTCACATGATGAACTGGAATGCTGGCAGAGGAAGCACAGGAAGCATAATTGTCACTCATTGTCACTCATTGTCACTCATTGCAATCATAAAACTCAGTTCCTTCCTAATACTACAGCCTTGTTTTTCTTGACTCTAGGGGTCTCCTGATAATAACAAGAATTATTTGCTTAAAAAAAAAAAAAAACAAAACTTAATTGACCTGTTCTTATGGAATATGTACTGCAAATAAAAAACAATTTAAAATATGAGTCTTGTCCCTGCAAACATTTATTAGTGTGGACATGGTTTACTTATTATTAACATCAGGTACAGTGACTAATCAGTGAGTCAGTATTGTGCTGACCACAGAACCATAAAAATAGAGCTATTTAGTATTTGTAGAGAGTAGCTTAAAAATAGACAGGATTTCAAACTGGGCTTACATGAGAAAAAACCTTAAAGCAGTATGAATACTCAGCTGCTTTTGTGTGAGTGTGACTTATAACAAATCATTACCTCTCCCTCTGAGTAAAGTACAGAATTAAAAATGACAAATATCTGTGCCAAATATGAAGCTTGTGTAGAAAAACTGAAATTTGATTCTGCTATGAATTGTGACTACCTAACACTTCATTTTCAGACATATAGTAAAAGATGGTCTTTATTTTTTTTTAAATATGAACACCTTTTTCTAAATCAGTTATTTAAATGTATTCTATAGAAGCTCAAAGCTCTCAGTTTAAAGAACTCAGCACTGGATAAATAATTTCAACTGTATTTTCTGTGTCATTAATGGAAATAAAGTGATCCTGAGGTAACTTATTGTACTAACACTTTTACTTCCAGTGATACTAGAATAATGAAAAATGTTTCTAATTTATGTACAGGAGCACTTCCCCTTCATGTTCTAACTTTTCATTCAGTTACATATTGAAACATTCACAGCTTGACAGAATTCTTCTTGAACATGAATAAATGAGTGGTCCTTTCTTACACTTTCTCATTATTATAATGTTGAGTTCTCCTCCATTACTCCAGATTCTTCCTTAAAATTGCTTTGTGTATCATATCTAAAGCAGCCATTTGCACTACTCTGATTCCCAACCTTCATGAATGTCTCAGTAAAACAAGTTACAGAAGATATTCCCACACGGTAGAAGAACTAGGAATGCTAGTCTAAAACACTGCTCCCAAGTGCTCTAAAAGTATTTTGTACAAGAAATTCCCTTGGTAGAACCACTCATTTTTCTCACATGTAAGAGGACATTTCGAACTAGTTTCATTCTATTTAAAAACTGCTTAACATTTTAGGCCTTTATAAATATGAGCCACTGATTTATCTACACGTTGAGAATAGAGACCAGGTATATCCGTAAATATAGCGTACTCCAGAGCCAGCAACTTCTTAGGCTTCTGAATTTATTTCATCTAGTAAAAAAATTGCTTTCAGCTAGATAACAGTGGCAACAAAGATAGTCATACCCTTCCCCTCCTACCCTTCCCTCCACCTCTACTGAGCTGCTTTCCAATGCTTTTTCTAGACCACGAAAAGCTATAGTGTAAGTTTTGAATTTCAAAGACTTACTTCAAAAGTGAATTTTCACCTTAATTCAGTTGATTGTTTCTTCTTACTTAGCATGCACTCATTTAAAAATGAATGTATAATATTCATTGCAGATATTTGTTTACAGACATTTACTTATGACAATGTGTGAATTAGCATACTTTTAACCATTAAATCAGCTCATCTGAGTTGCATGGCACATGTTAATAAAGAGACTTAATAAAAAAGACATGCCTAGATAAACAGCTCTCCATAAACTGTTTACATCCAAACCAGCAACAGAAACCAATCTTAAAGAAACTACATTTAAAAGGATCATGAATATAGAAAACCTATTAGTCACACTATCTGAAGAGAATCTGAAGGAAATTAAATACCAAAACTCAGTCCTGCTAGCATTAGGAAATGTAATATGTGCCACCTTTGTATTAGGCAGAGTCACTCAACAGAAGGGCATTCCCAGCTTCCATCCATGTCCTTATTCCTGCTTCTGACTAAAGCAAACCCCTGGCGCCTGTGACTTATTCCTCGCTTCCTGTCTTTTAGTGGAGCAGTGGTTCAATGGTGACAGATATTCCCACCATTTTTATGGAAAACTAAAAGCATTTGCGTGAATTTGGAAATAAAGAGAAAGATATATGCAAGATGGGCCTTAGGCAGAAGGGCACTCTAGACATATAGATCACTTTGCAGTATTAAAGTAGTCAGGCTCTAATAATACAGAGACTGCTTAAAAATGGAGAAAATATTAAAAGATGCTAAAGGAG